ATCACCTCCTGGGAGAGGCAGATGTCTGAGCAAGTCATCACAGAACAATGTGGTTAGTTCTAAATATAGCACACACAAAGGCCTGAGGGACTCAGAGGAGGAAGCCATTGGCACTCCCCGGAGTAGAAAGAAAGGCTTTGTGTAGGTGACAGTTGAGCAAGATGACAGATGAGTGGGTGGCAACCAGTCCAACCAGAGGGGGTGGACCCTTGGGTGGGACCAGGAAGGCCTCCTCCAATTCATTACCTAATATTAAATTAACCAAACATTTGCCTCTGTCTTCAGCCTTGGGGTTTTGTGTTGGAGATAAGGAGGGTTATGTTGGAACTTCCAGCTCCTTTCTCAAGGACATGGACTGCTTGCTGATAGAGAACATCCTATCTGGTGCATTCCGGACACAAAAGGGGTTGTTATTCAGAAGGATTTGCAGGACCAGAGAGCTCTGCTCATTTCTGGAGGTCATCCTCACAGAACTAGAAGCAAGTAGGACTAGTGTGTGTGGACCTAAGCGGCACATCTGCACCCACCCTGGTCCGCCTGACACCTTGATTCAGAATGAAGTTTCTGAGTCACATGATCAGACAGAATCTTCTTTCTCTTTAGCAGCACCACGCATGGCAAAGGATTCAACTGGAAAGAATACACACTCACTGAGTTCTTCTTATAGCCCAGCACGTAAGTGCATCACTGAAACACAGGAAATTGTGGGATTTGGGATCCTCAGTGTTTTCAATCACGTGAGCATGAGAGTTTCCCTCCATGCTGAGGAGCAAGTATGTTCAGGAGCAAGTATGGTCAAGAGGGAGTGAAGAACCAGATCTAAGTCTGTGCGGTGGGAACTGTGGAAATGTTGAAATGGGAACTGTGACAATAAAGGGGTGGGCAGTAATTTATCAGGTAAATAAGAAAAGAAAAAAAAACATGTAGGAATAGCAATATTAATAAAGGTTAATAGGCCGAAACCGGTTTGGCTCATGGATAGAGCGTCAGCCTGCGGACTGAAAGGTCCCGGGTTCGATTCTGGTCAAGGGCATGTACCTTGGTTGCGGGCACATCCCCAGTAGTGGGTGTGCAAAAGGTAGCTAATCAATGATTCTCATCGATGTTTCTAACTCTCTATCCCTCTCTCTTCCTCTCTGAAAAAAAAATCAATAAAATATTATTTTTAAAAAACCTTATTAAAAAATAATAATAAAAGTTAATAGGACATTTAATACAAAAGATTATTTGGTACTAATAAAAACTGACAAAGATGATAAATAACATAGAGTAAATATATATGATAAAAGCTCATATTCTATATATAGGTAAATGTATTTTTCTCATATCTGTAAAACTCGTATTCTTATGTTTAAGCTAGTTTTTTAAACATTGATGTTAATTTTCATAAATTGTCAAAGAAGCTAAAATAAAATGTGTCTTATCCTATCGTTCCACATGACAGCAGTGTCTCAAGGTTATTATTTGAAATTATATTTGCCGTTGAACTTTTTTGTCCAGTCACCCTAGGCTGTTCTCTATTTGAAACTCTGCATCCTAAGATAAAAGCCGGTATCCTTTAGGAACTGCTGTAATACACCAGCACCAATCACACAATTAAATGACTGGGACAAACAATAAGAATAAAATGCCGACCCTGTCAACTCGGATTTTAAGAGTTTCCTGACAACAGAAGGCGGTAAAGGTTGCACATCCCTGCACCTAAAACACAAACCTGCATAAATCCAAGGAATGAAAATGCAGGATGTCCAAAAGAAATGTCTACACACTTTAACAGCTGATAGCTCGATTTTGAAAAGAAATTGTATTTTAATAAGCAATGCCTTTAAAATTATTCAAAGTGTGTGTGTGTATATTTTTTGGGGGGGGAACACCCCATATATTAAAAAATAATAATAATAATAATTCTCTCAGCAGGGCTCCAGTCAGCAAGCTGCATGGTGCAGACACCGTGAGCAAGGATATCCATGAATAAGTAATTAGGTTTGTTCCAAAAATTGGCTGAAGTTTTTCTTGCGTGTGGTTTTTCTTTTTAAAACTATTCCTTTACTAATATGACCCCCTGGCTCATATCAAATTGCAAACATAAATTCAACAAACAGCCACAGTGGTTTCAAAAAGGAGTGGGAGGTATGGCATACTTGCCTGCTTCACTAAATAAACTTGGATCCTTGCCTCTGAGGCTGGAGGATTCCATTGTAAATTGCTACCTTCACAACAAACATTAACCCCCTTTTTATTTTATCTGTCTCCAGCAGAACAAGAAGAAAAGGAAAAAAAAAAAAACACACATAAAAACCAACTTCTTATGTTATGCTTATTGGTTTGGTATAAAAATACTAAATAAGCAAAATTATAGAATTTTTATAAATGTTTAATAAAAAGTATCCTTATATTATAGCTGAACAATTAACAATTGTTTTTATTTTGTATATCTTTCCATCTTCTTTTCTACATATAGTTTTGTGCATAATATAAATGCAAGTGTATATTATGCTAGATTCCTCTTGCCCTGGAGGTGGCTTCCAGGAGTGTTTGGGGCTACTAGCTCTTCATTTACTCAACATCCAAGAAGAGATAACTTCTGGTCTTTATCGGGCTGACTCAGCTCTTGCACCATAACAAAACCACGTGCTGAATCAGCAGGCCAGATCCAGAAATCAAGAAAAGGGAAAAGAGAGCCACTCATTCAAAAATCGGCAAAAATAAAAAGGGGGTACTGTAACCTGACTAAAAGAAAACAGGAGCACTAAACAAAGGGGGATTTATTCCATATTAAGAGAAATTCCAGGCTGTCTGTGCTGATTGTGGGGGCAGGGGCTGAAAATTTGCTCCTTTTGGTGGATCATGTTTTAAATTTTTGTGCTAGAGTGCAGGTAAGGTATTCTGTGAGATCTCAGGGGAGATACGTAGGATCTACCTGCCCCTTGTTTGTGTAAGGTTAGGACTCTGCAATGATGAATATTTTTGGAAACAATAGTAAGCATTTACTGTTTGAAACCAATCGGGATCCAACCTTGGATGTTGGGTGAAATCAATCCCAACAACATGGTTTTTCTATCGGAAAGGAGAATGAATGAAGAATTGGTGGTTGAGTAGGTATCTGATCTCTCCAAATTCATTCACTAAATAACTGAGAAAGACAACAAGAATGGCCTTGGACAGCAGCTGGAGACAGCCGCTGGATGAAGACAAATATGCAAAGATTGTGTGGGAAGCCCCAAAACTCTTGGAAAAGGTCTTCTAGGCAAGAGACAACAAGAATATGCCCATTTTACCTTAATAATTTACCCATTAGTATTCCCACCCTCCTTTTTACATGTAGAGATCTGCGACTTAAATAAACAATGATTGAAATGCTGTCAGGCAGTGAGATAATTCTTTATTTGTTCCCCAGGACAATGGGGAGCTCATTTTCATAGGAAGGAGTCTTTGCGTTGCCAACAGCATAGAAAACCCAAGAGCTAAGACTTTCTCAAGAAAGACCTTCCAGAGCAAATCCAAACCACTGAAGTTTCACCATCAAAAGGGACACAGAACACCAGCATTTTCTGTTTCCTCATTCTACAAGAGCCATCTCCTTCCTGTTTCCAAAATGTGTCAAAAGTTAAAACTGGTTGCTTAAATATTGATTTTTTAAAGCATGTGGGCAAACACACTAAGAGTTAAGAAGAGTGTTCTTATAAAAGGTCATTCAAAAAACTCCAGAATACACGTTTCAAAGTCAAAAAGAACAAATTCTGTCTCTGCAGCTCATTGGCTGTGTGACCCAGAGCGAACTGTCTGACCTCTCTGTCCCATTCTCTTAAAAAGACGGTGAGAATATCCTCCCGTTAGGATTGCATTGAAAACCAATTGAAATAATACTTATAAGCCACATAGCTAGTGCCTACAAAAAATCACTCAATACTTTGGCTATATTGTAATTATGATAACACCTTGACCACTGTCTCTCAGTGCGGTTGCTGAAAAAGCAAGGTGCACCCTTGTCCTGCCACCCTTGCAGCTCAAAGAAGCCATAACACCCCACCTCCTCTTACTCCAACAGATGACAGATTTTTGTTCTGAGAAAGATTTTTGTTCCCGGGTGAAAGTGGAAGGCATGTTCTTTTCTCTAGGAAGACCTTTACCTTTACACTCATACGAGGCCAAGGAAGACTTGGCCACCATTTGGTGACCACAAAGCAGTAAAACTAAAGATACGACCTCAACATGCTACCAATGTGGAAACACCTACATCTAAACATCTTACTAAGTTCACAATGTGTGTCCTTTCTGAACAGGTAGACTGTTTCTCCCAGTTTAGTATGCTGCATATGACTGAAAGACATGTGCTGACTCAGATGAAGCATTGGGACCTACAATATTACAGGAGTCCCAAAGATATACTAGTAAGATCAAAGTAACTCAAGAACAATGCAACATCACTGCCAAATCTGTGAATAACTAGCCTGAAACAGCTTGTTAATTAATGGAAATATTTACCTGCAGAGCAAGAACCAGCTGGAATGATTCCAGGCTTCGTCAGCCTCCAAGTGAATTTAAAATAAATGCCAGACTTCTCTGGAAGGAATTTCAAAACACCTCATTTATTGAGAAATTACTTACTTACCTGCCCTCCAGACACAGCTAGGAAGACCACAGAGTTCATGAGAGCCAGGGTTTTGTTGTTTTTGGTTTGGGGTTTGTTGTTGTTGTTGTATGTTTGTTTGTTGTATTTATAGAGCAAACATCTCTGGAGAGATTGATAATTTCATTTTGTTTTCATAATAATTCATCTTCGAAATATCCTGGTAGGGAGGAGAGATGAAAGATCATGGCTACTATTTTAGAGAAGAAAAGATGCAAAGAACATGAAATTAAAGGATTACCTTTAAACCATAGTCAAAATGTAGCCCCACATAAAGACAGCCAGTAAGCCAGGGGAGGTTAGATTCTAGATATCTTCAATCCCCATCAGGCACTCTCCTGGTGATGCAATAATAATCCAAATGAATGACTCAGGTCCTTGCACCTCCCAGAAACTATGTTTGGATGAAGAGAAAACACAGATCAAAAAGGAGAATCAAGCCAGCTCATTTAAACCATTGTCTTGAAGGCATCCTGGTCATTTTTTTTTTTTTACTTCTAAACATTTGGAATAATAATCATAAAATAGAAGAAAAAGAAAAGGAGAAAAATACAGGGCAATCAGAAACACAAAAGAATATAAAAGCATACTTAAAAGTCAGAGAGATTTTCAAAGAATGGCTACAAAGAAAGCAAAAATGGAGTAACCAGGACTAGCAGAGAGGAAAAAAAAATATTATAGAAATATAAATATTATTTGAGTTAACTAAGGTTAAGCCAGCATTTTATTTTCATTTGTTAAGGCACACGATAACACTTTCAAAATTATGTGAAGTGGCTTGAGATAAATTCTACACAAACCATAGAGCCTTTAAAACAGAAATAAAATTGCCTGAGTGCAAACCTTGCTCTGCCACATACTGGCCACGTGACTCACCTCTCACTGCCTCAAGCTCACCAATCAAGCTTACGTGGGAGTGAGTGATGATAGCACCAGCCTCAAAGGGCTCTTACCTCATTTAACATTACGTAATTTTTCTGAGGAAGTTTACAGATCAAGCAGGCTAAATGCAAAAAATAAAAAGTCTACACCAAAGCATGTCGTTTTCAAAGCACAGAAAATCACTGCAGATAAACTCCTGCAAGCAGCCAAAGGAGAAGGGAAAACACCTTACTTATAAAGGAACAAAGATAATAATTACATCTAACTTCTCAGAAACCATGAAGTAAGAAGAAGGTGAAAAGGCAATTTCTAAACTGTTGAGAGAAAAAGAAAACCACCAATCTAGAATTTCTGAGAAATTATCCTTCAAAAGTGAAAAGGAAATAAAGAGGTTCTCAGACAAACAAATATTGAGGAAATGTGTTGCTGGCAAACCAGCTTTGCAAGGAATATGAAAAGGAGTTCTACAGACAGAAGGAAAATAATCTAAGCCAGAAACTCAGACCTACATAAAGAAAGAACATTAAAGAAATAAGTGTAGATAAAAGGTTTTTTTTCTTTTTCTTAATCTAGCTAACATATAACAGTTTGTTCAAAATAATAATAGCAACAATGTATTTATGTATGCTTATGTATATTCCTATGCCTATTTATGCTTACATATAAATGAAATAAATAATAGTAATGATATAAGGAACTAGAGTGGGGAATTAGGATTATTTTGTTATCATAAGGTACTCACACAACTGGTGGAATATAGTACTTGGGCTGAAACCGGTTTGGCTCAGTGGATAGAGCATCAGTCTGTGGACTGAAAGATCCCAGGTTTGATTCTGGTCAAGGGCACATGATCCCTACCTTTGGATGGTGGGCGTGCCAAAAACTTTGCAGCCATGACTTTAAACAGCCACAACTGGATAGACTGGACCTAGACCTCTTGGAATATCCTCAAAGGACTAGAATTCAGGAACCCTTCCCAGCTTTCACGGACTGCCTGAGCCATCAGAATTCATACCATGCCTAAGAGAAAGGCAGCCAGAAAGAGGCTGACCTAAAGAGGGTTAGTTAGATGTTTTTAATCATATAATCAAGTCCTACACACTAGATATTATAGTAATGTCATACCTTTCTTTCCAGTTTTTAACATCTTTTTTGTGGAGACCAGAAAACTATAAAGTGAACAATTAAGCAGTCTATGATTAACTGCTAAAATGAGAGCTGTAAACAGACAATAATCCACCTAATATCATTAAAGATCTAGGCAATTACAGAGTTTCCTCCAGAACTTGTTCCTATAATCTATTTAGATGAAAAAGAAAATTTACTAAGCTGTAAGTTTTTAAGATATATACAATTGGAAAATTCGTGCTAAAAGATAAACAGATTACCTTAATATATATTCAATCCCTGAGCCCAAGCATATTCATTTCTATCACAAGTTCTGAAAACCAACTTTATGATATTAAAAGTGAATTTTTACCTTAAGGCTAACATGGAAATGGAATCTGGTTAAAAACAAGTGCATGTATTTCTTTTACTCTGAGCTTTACTTAAGAGCTTTTAGTGACTGAATATTTAGACTTGTATTTTAACTTCCTCTGAAAACAATAGAAATATATTCCCACCCTGTTAAGCCTTATCACTCAGCTCCTATAGAGAAATCATTTCAACTGAAACAGTTTAGCAGCAACGTTAAAATCCAATATTCTATCACTCGATGAAGTTTAGCATTTAGTAGTTGATAGATTTTACCTATTCTGGTGTACATAAAATCTTTCATGCCCTTGAGCTAATGAATAACTCAAACTAAATAAATTATTAATTCTGTTAAATGAAAAATTTACATTTAATCTTCTTTTTACATGGCAAACATAGATGGTTTAAAAAACTACAAATGACTAGAAACAATATAAATGTGTAGTTATTCTACCCTGTTTCCCCGAAAATAAGACAGTGTCTTATATTAATTTTTGCTCCCAAAGATGTGCTAGGTCTTATTTTCAAGGGATGTCTTATTTTTCCATGAAGAAGAATACGGTACACACTTATTGTTAAATGAAAATAAAGGAAATTTATTACCTGTATACGGTATGGTAGTACAGTAGTTGTCAACACAAACCAGACCAACTGTGAATCCTATAGTATCAAGAATTTACTCATTTATTCAATGACAATCATGTCATCATCTTCTGGAACATCATCATAACAATCCAATTCCTGAATTTCCTGATGAATTTCTTGTGACTCCATTTCTTTCAGAATCAGTGGACCAAATCTCTCATGTTTAGCCTGGTGGGGGGGGGGGCCTTATTTTCGGAGGAATGCCTTATATTTCACTCAGAAGGAAACCTGTAAGTAGGTCTTATTTTCGGAGGATGTCTTATTTTCGGGGAAACACGGTATATAATAAAAGCTTAATATACTAAGTGTCTGACAGTTTGTTCAATCATTTGACCAGTTGCTATGACACACACTGATCACCAGGGGGTAGACATTCTAACTGGTAGGTTCATTTGCTGCTGGGGTCCAGCCTATGAGGACTGGGCAAGATGGGCCAGACACACCCTGGAGCCCTCCTGCGGTCCCTCTCCCTCTCCAGCCCCAATTGTGCACTGGTGGGGTCCCTCGGCCTGGCCTGTGGGGATCAGGCCAAACTGGTTCTGACATCCCCCAAGGGGTCCCAGATTGCGAGAGGGCACAGGTTAGACTGAGGGACCCCACCAGTGCACAAATCTGCACTCACTGGGCGTTAGTTTTATATAAAGCAGGATGTGGGGGAGGAGGGGTGTCAGTATCTTGTACAAATTGCCCTAAAAACTCAAGTTCAGATTTCCCTTTCTAGTTGGCTGCATTTTTGGATTCCACCAATTGTCTTCAAATTCTAAACAGTGGAAAACCACTTCCTTAGAAATAGAGAGAGGAAGAAAAAAAAAAAAAAACAAGAAAAAAAAAAAAAACCTAAGTCACTTTTTAAAGCAATCAAAGCCAACCATCAGCCATCATTGCTGGGAAAATAAGTAGTCAAGATTTGAGTCAAGCCTCAAAGACATAAATATAAACTTCTACAGACCTAAGCTGTACTTTCCAACTGAAGGCTTTCAAAATTATGTGGTTTCTAATAAGTGAATTACATTCATATTTTTCTCATAATCAAAAGATATAAAGTTTGGTTTCCTAATGTTGTGCCTTCAAGAGGTATTCTCACATGAAAATGAGGCTATTGCCTTGGTAAATAGAGACAGCAGCTCAGAAAGTGATTAAAGTCATGAAAAAATCATTTTGCAAATTATTTGGGGACATGCAAGCACATTTTATGGAGAGCCCCAAGATCACTGCAGGAGAAAAAGCATTGATTTACGTGTTTGCCTTGTGCTTTGCCGTATTTTTTTTCCTCATTAAAATGGCTTCACATGGAGATCCATAAAGAAAAGCAAGGCTGTACCAAAGGAGGGAAAAGAAGTTGTCAATTTTAACCTTCAATGAAATAGTTTCGGCCACTTAAAATTCCTTTTACCTTTTATTTTATTCATGTGTGAAGACCAGATGAAATATCTTGGAACTGAACCTCTACCCAAAAGAAATCAATTCTTGTTTTTAAGAAGGGAGTTTTGTTAGACACAGTGTAACACTGTGCACATGTGCCATACATAACACAATTACAAAAATGCTATTTCTGGAAAGCTAAAGAGCTGGGTTAGTGTTAAAACACTCCTGGGATGGGTGGCAAAGAGCAGAATAAAAGCAAATTAATTACAGGATGTTTTCCATCCAGAATAGATTCATCTGACAAGAAAAGGGGGGAAAGTTTTCTTGATTATAGATTAACTAGAATTTTTAAACAACCAAAACACCATTGTAGCGTCATATGTACTATCAGAATTATCCTTACAACTAAACATTTAATTCAATGGGGGAAAATGTAAGTTTTGCACATTAGGCATACATACTAAGTTCTTAACTTATCACGATAAAAGTTGTCTCTTTAAATAATTTAATAAGAAAAAGTATTTTCTTTCCATGCATGCAATATCTGATACTGTTCAATAAAGTACATGTTCTGGGCACAGCAGGATCTTTATACCACTCCAATTTTTTTAGGGTAAAAAATAAAGGGAAATGAAGATGAAACAAAAAATTTTATGCTAAGGGAATCTTGTATCTATTCTGCAATTCACATATATGAAAAGTATTAGCTATTGAAATATTATTATAAATCAGTGATTCTTAATTAAGATACTTTTAAGTTTTAAAAAATGTTTTAGTATAAGCAATATTTATTAAAATTAAAATAGTAAAATTTTAAAACTTCCTCTCTCTCTGCTCCTTGCCCCAATGCTTCTTAAAAATCTTTTAAAATTAAGAATTTCAAATATTATGTTCCTTGTTCTTTTCTCTTTATATTATCCCTTGTCCTAAACAATTGATTTTTACATTTTCTTTTATCTCCATCAAAACTCGATGTGCATCGACTGACATAATCAACAGATTTACAAAGTTAATAAATGGTAGTTG